TATTTAAACTTACTTGAGAATAGGTTTGAAAAGTTTTTCATTGATATTAACTTTCTTAATGATATAATAGCCATTTTCTTTTGTTGCATCATTTAATACATTGTTAAAAAATGGACAATGAGCTGATATGATAGATGCATGTGCATGAAATTCTTTGATGTTTGGTTCTACACCAACGTATATTTTTACGTCATAAAAATTTTCAGTGTTTAGCAATCTCTCATTTTCATTGAAATATTTTTCAAATGTTGAATTCATTTTTTAAGATTTAAAAAAAAAATGAATGACCAATCACATGTTACAATTAAATCATAAAAAGGAAAATTATTTTATCTGTTCAACATTCATTTGGGGTAATCCTTGAATTGGTTTTAAATTTAAAATGACAAAACATCCCACTTTAATTGTAAATCTTGTTTCAGTAGGTGAAATAAAGTCACATACACATTATGGGCTAAATGCAAGAAAATGGAGAATAAAAGTGAAATACCTATTGAAGTCTTTGAAGTGTTGTTGCGAATTATTTTTTTTAATTGTTATGATTTCCATTATAATTATATTTTATTAGGTTTGGTTAAAAGTAATGTAGTATCAGTTAAAATTATATTATACAAATAGTAATCATTATGAGTCATGACCCAAGACCAACCTAATCGTTACCAAATATTTTCAAATCTATCATCAGAACCATCGACCACCGCGGAAATTTCCTTACTGTGTAGTGTGCGGTCGTAATTTAGCAAATTATAATTAACATCATGCTTTATTAATTACATACACTGCCCTCCAAAAAGTATTCGGACGATGTTTTTCGATAATTACGCAAAATGTCACATAACGAACGTACATAAAATTTATACCATATATGGCTTAGGTTTTGGCAACTCTACATATAAATTTTTATTATACTGTCTTTTTTTTACGATTTTTAGTTAAAAAAAAACGAACACCAAATAAATCGCGAGGATTATCTTTGCGAATTTTTAATAATTTTATGTTTCTCAAAATTTTATATTATAAAATTCAATAAAAATTTAATAGTTTGTAGTTTAGGTCCTCATAAATAAACGACTAAAACTTTATGTTCCTGTCACATGTGAGTTTTGTTATTAAAAATAAACTGATACCAATAAAATTGATTAGATCAAAAAAATTTCACAATTTTTTTTTGATTTTTAAAAATGGCAAAAAATTCAGGATTAACTGAAGCTGAGCAAGGAAAATTTTAGGTCTAAGAATAGCTGGTAGTTCTCTTGCAAAAATCGCAAACACACTTAATATTCCAAAGTCTACAGTTCATGACACTATCAAACATTATGAGAATGCCAAAAATTTAAAAAAAAATAAAATGATCATCATAAAATAAAATAAATATTGACCAGTGTTTGTTTTTTTTAACTAAAAATCATAAAAGAATGATAAAAATAACGAGATTTTTCACATAGGTTCTCCAAAACCTAAGCCACACTATGACATAAATTTTATGCACTTTTGTTATGTGGCATTTTGCATAATTATCAAAAAACATCATCTGAATACTTTTTGGAGGGCAGTGTATGAACACCAATAATCTCTTCATATGGTTCATTGTTTGTTCATTAGATTCAAATGGATGGGCTGCTAAATAGAGTTGGTCAAAAACCCCTTCAAGCTTGGTTCTATTCTTGGAGCAATTGTTGTATTTCATCAAAATCATATATATACAGTGTGTTTCAAAAAAAATGGCATGCATAATGTAAATTCATTTTGAAAAGTTTTGAAATAAAAAAATTTTTTCACATGATCAAAATGGTTGGATAACTTGTTTATGTGATAACCACATCATGAAAACGTGTTTTTTGATACACATATTGTTGCAAAAACTTTTATTGACAAAAAAAGAATTCATGCAATGGACTGGCCATCCAACAGTCCTGACCTTAACCCATTGAGAACATGTGGTATATCATGAAAAATAATGTTGAAAAAAGAATGCCAAGGAATGTTGACAAATTGAAGAATTTATGGTTGAAGAATGGGAAAAATTCCTCAGGAAACAGTCAAAAATATTATTATCTCTATGAAACAGAGATGCGAATTGGTCTTAAAAAAAAATAGGGATAGAATTTCTTATTAAATTTTTTTTTTTATTTAATAAAGTATTCAGTAGGCTTTTAAATGAACATAATTTTATTTATTTATCTTGGATAATTGTTGCAGTATACAATTTTTTGTGTGTGCCATTTTTTTTTGAAACATGCTGTAGGACCTTCTTTATTTGAACATTCTTTTTCATAAAAGATTTTGGCCATCATCTTGATGATTCTAGTGAAAACAATCTTTTCACTTACCTCTTTCCCTTCTTCATCTGTGGTTTTTACTCTCCTAGGTCCTCTTGTTTGATAAAAAACTGGTTTGCTTGGGAAATATTATAAAAGTCAATGATAATGGGAAAATCACAAGACTTTGTAGAGAATGTGCATGTGAAATATCTGTATATAAATAAATTTGATTAATGAAAAAAAATAAATTGATTTTATTTATTTATATTTATAATTGTAATAATATAAAGTTATTGATGATTAATCATATTTTACATCAAAGTAATCATAATAGTAATAATGATAAGAATAATATTATCTATTCCTTAAAGTTAATTTTACCATTATATCATTTTTAGCCATAACAACTAATCTTTCTTCTTTCTGAACATCATTTAAATTCATTGCTAATTCAACATTGAATTTTTGGAAGATAAGACAAATCATCATTTTGACATCTAACAATGCAAGTCTTTCAGCTGGGCAAATTCTAGCACCAAAGCCAAATGGACAATAAGTTGATGGTTTAATAGTTTTGGTGGTGGTGGCAAATCTTGATGGTTTGAATTCCAATGGATTTTCAAAAAAGTTTGGGTTTTCATGTAACAATGGAATTGGATATAAGATGGTCGTATTTGATTTTAATAAAAGACTATTATCAATATTGTGAGGTTCAATTGATGAAGATGACAATGAAGATTTTGTTGTTGTTGTAATTTTTTCAACATTCATATCTGATTTTAAGAAGCGTGCACAAAATGCTCCAGGTGGATGAACTCTCAAAGATTCTTTAACAACTTGAGTCAAGTAATCCATTTTTGATAAATCTTAAAAATAATTATATGTTAACCTTTGCAATAAATGTTAAATAATATATGAATATTATTATGTACCTTCACATATGTCAATTTTCAGATGAGATTAAAACTTGGTTACAGAGTTAGAATATGATTTACTTTTAAAATTGATTACAGATTGATTTTTAATCTAACCAAAATTTTAATCCTATCAAAAATTGGTGCATGTGAAGGCACTACTATTATGATGATTGGTTACCTTCAAATGTGGGTAAATGACATTTTAACACTTGATCAATTTCTTCCTGAAGTTTTTTTTGAATTTCAAGATTTTGTGTTAATTCAAATATAGTCCAAGAAATTGCTATACCAGTTGTATGATATCCAGCAACAACAAATATACTAATAAACATATTTATCTAATGCAACAATAAAAAATATTAGATGTTAAATACTAATCAAATAATAAGTAATAATTATAATATAAATAAATAATTACCATTTCATCAGTATAAGGATTATTTGTCTCAGGATCAATTGCTAATACCAAAATGTCAAGCATATCTTTTACCAATACATCTTCACCACCATTAACATTAGTCCTTCCTCTTCTTTTAGAAATTAGATTCTTTAAAGTTTCTTGTAAATAATTAATAGAATTTTGAAATTCTTCTTCACGTGATGCTTCCAGCATACCAAATTGTTTATCAAATAAACCACTTAATGCAATATCATATGCATGTTTGAATGCTTTTAAATCAAGATCTTGTGGTTTATCTATACTATTATTGAGATTATTTGTAAAAAAAAAAAAAAAAAAAAAATCATATACAATGTTTATAAGTGTGATTTTTTCCTCTTGTTACCTACCTTATGATTGCCCTCATTGTTGCCCGTAAAGAAAACTCAAGCAATTCATCTTGCATTCTAAATATGGCATCTTTATCTGAATTCAAGATTTTTTCCCATTGACTAATCAATTCAACCCCAATGTCTCTCATTTGATTATATTTTGTCAACATAACTAATTTAATAATAATAACAATAATAACAAATGAATATATATATTGTAATCAAAGATATAGTATACTTATTTATAAATATATTTATAACCTTCATGTCCTAAAGCTGGCCCAATCAATTCACGAAATTTGGCGGCTCTATCAGCTTCAAATATTTGAAAATTATCTTGCCCAAACATTGGTTCCAAAAATTTGAACAAAAAATTAGGCCTATCACCTATTGATAATGTTGATTTTATAATCCGAGGATCTGTCACAGAAATAGTATTCTCAAAAAGTGGTCCTTCAGGCTTTACTACATGACCTTGAGTTGAATGTAATTTACGTAGATAAGGAATAAATCCACCCGATGATGATAATTCATCTTTATTTTTTGATTTATAATGAAAATAAGAATAAAAAACAAAATAAGCTGGAAGAAAAAGACACAAAATTAATATAAAAAAATTCAAAACATTTTTTTCTTGTATGAGTTTTTCAAAATCCATTTTTTTTATATAATTTCGATAATTGTTACTGTTACTACTTTACTCCTTGGGAAAGTTTTAATTAATTTATCTGCAAAGCCTACGCACTCACTAAAATGGTTACTATAATATTAATATCTTTTTTCTGTAATAGGGATAACGATCTTCGGCGTTAAGCAGAAAGCCGCAGAAATAGCAGAAAATATTAGTCACCTGATTTTGTGATTGATTACCTTACCCTTGTCTTAGATCCTTCGTCTCATTCCAAAAAAATGGGGTTTCGTAATTTCTCTATAAAAACAATGCCCGAAAAAGAAGAAGCTAAAGGCAGATATATTAGGAACATGAGGGTAAGTATTATGTTTGCAAACCATTAGTTCAAACTATAGTTTCTTTTTATAAATCACTTAATATAAATCTTAACATTATTTATTGTTTAAAATTTTGATTTCTTTCTGTTTTCTTAGAGGAATAACATTCTATTTGAAAATAAATTTAAAAAAGTTTAGAGGTGAAGATGTAAGTAATTCAAGATAAATGAGCATTTAAATAATAATTATACAAAAACTTTTGAACTAATTTATTTATTTTGCAATAGATGAGAGTCTGCCAGCCTGGCAACCTTCTCAAGAAAAATGAATACTGTACCATAGGAAGTAAATGGGGAGGTGAAGTGACCTTCTATATAACTTGATGGAATATGAATATGGGGAAGTTGAAAAACTTTACAAAGGAGAAAATGGCACTAAAATTATAAAGATACATTTTATAACCTGTTGATTTTGAAGTGAAAAGAAAATTAGAAACAGTTGGATTAATCTGCTCAGGTATGCTTTGTTATGCAATATGTCCATCACAACAAGCTTCCCACTAAGCCTTATCCACTTCTCTAGTATATGTCAGTATTACGATTACCAGTTTGGTAGAAGATATCAAAAAAAAAAACAATGTTTGAGATGTTCTAAATAATTATAACAATTTTGAAAATTTTGAAAATTTTGAAAGCAATGGCATAACAGAATGAATGAGATATTTTATATTGATATTATATTTAAGTCAGGTGATCGGCGCGAATCTAAAATTCCTTAATTAAAATTTTTAAATTTTTAAAATGAAATATAATAGAAATAATAAAACATTGAGAAATGTCCTCCGAAACAATCGGTGGCAGCAGCAGCAGAAATAGCCACAGCAGCAACAGCAGCAATCACCACCAGACTATTACTATCATAATAGTGGTGATAATATAATAATAATACTTATTATTATTATAATTATTATAATGATGACGATGATGATGATGATGATGACACAGTCATCAATGAAGAGAAGGTGGAGGAGGAGGAAAATGATGGTGGTGGTGGTGGTGGTGATAGTGGCAGTGGTGGTAATGTTGGTGTTGTTGGTAGTGATAGTGGCAGTGGTGGTAATGCTGGTGTTGTTGGTAGTGTTGGTAGTGGTGGTAGTGGCAACAATAATAATGGTGGTAGCAATAATGGTGGTGGTGGTAATGATGGTGGCAGTGGCATTAGCAGTGGCAGTGGCAGTGGCAGTGGTAGTGGTAGTGGTAGTGGTAGTGGTAGTGGTAGTGGTAGTGGTAGTAGTAATTGTGGTGGTGGTGATAATGCCATGGATTTTAAAGTGGTAATGGCAATAAAAAAATAAATAAATAAATATTATTATTATTATCATCATCATTATAACTTGTCCAATATAAATATATTTTGTTAATATTAATATTTAACTTATTCCAAATGATTTGGTAATTAAATTAAATTGAATAATAATATACCAATATTGAAAATATTTATTCTCCTTTTCTTATATATATATGATAATAAATAACAAATATTTTAATCACCATTAGAATCATCTAGTTTTTTTTTACTCATGAAGTTATTTTTACATATTATTAATAAATAATAATCCATAATACATATTAATATAACATCTTTAATCATATTCCTTTTCTAAAATATATAGAAAAAATCAATAACAATAATAATCACATACCAATTATATAAGAAATACATGAATGTTTCCATAATTTTTATTTTAAAATGCATTCTTTGGAGAAGTCTGCACCAGAATTATTTTGTCATTACATTATCCATCAAAAAATTTTAATAATAATAATAATAATTGAAAAGATAAAAAAATAAAAAAAGTAATCAATAATTAATAGTTGATGCAACATTGCATACATATCCTTTAATAATTTATTATTAATAGTACATTGTTATTAAGTCAAAATCCTACCTCACAAGAAAATCTTATGAAGGAGATTAAATCAATGCAATCAAGGAAGGAAAGAATTAATGTGTTTTTTTTGGAGTTTTTGGGTGACAATGTATCTAATACCAGAAGTGAAAAAGTAATTAATAGTCGTAAAGAGAGTCTCTGGTTACTTATAGATGATCTCTACAATACATTTAATGGCACAATTCCATTGGAAAATTCCTTGTTTAAAGATGTTAAGGAATTTAATGATGAAGGATTAAATAATATATTTACCTGTTATAATAAAGGAATTCAACGGCTTTATACTATGTTAAATGGAGAAGTACTTCAAAATGTAACAATTAAAGGAACTGGTATGAAGGACATTTCTTTGTACAAATGGAATGACCTAAATAAAGAAATAAATGAAAAGAAAAAGAATTTAAAAAAAGCCAAACAACCAAAAAAAATTAATCCTATGATAATTGACATTGAAATAGTAAATACAACTATTGAATCCTCCTCCAACATACCTCCTCCTTCAACAGATCTTGAACAACCTCTACCAACAAAAAATACAAGATATAGACCATCTCAGGATGAAAAAAAAATTCTTGAAAACCTTGCTTCATTTAATGAGATGCCATCAATGGATAAAATTGACCCTGTATTGAACTCATTACTCTTGCTTAATCCAAATCATTGGAATGCAAGAAAAGTGAAAGAATATTGGAGACACAATCTTGGACCTAATCGAAGAAAATCAAAAAAAAATCAAACAGAAATGGAGTTATAATTATTTTATTATTATTATATAAATATATTTTTTTTTCCTTAATACATACATATCTTAAAATATTAAAATTATTATTGGAATTAATTATTTTATTATTATTATATAAATATATATTTTTTTTCCTTAATACATACATATCTTAAAATATTTAATATAAATTTATATTTACGTTAAAGTTATTTGCAGTCCTTATAATTAAAGTCAAAATTTTTCTAACACAACCTTCCAAGTAGTTATAAGCGACTTTGTAGGGAACACTTTGGCATGACTGTTGCCACTGAATTTGTTTTAGTCTGCATACTAATACTAATTGGAAGAAAATCTTAAAATAAGTGTGAAGAAAAGAAATGCTTTGAACCTGGTGTAGAATAACCAATATTTAAGCTAACCTTTTCTTTTTAACTGTTGTTAGCAGTTAATAAATAAAGATTATATTTGTAAAAAACAAAGGTTCATTTGCTATATCCACTCTCATTAATTCCGATATATATAAAATCTAATTTTGATTGCATAACAATTTTATTAATAAATAATATTACAGATTATACTTGTAAAAAACCAAGGTTTGTTTATTATATTCATGATAGTAATAGTAATAAGCTACTTAACTTTTAAGAATTTTTATTATAGTGTTGCTATGATAGTTTCATTTCATCAATTAATATTATAAATAAATTAATAACCTATAAATAATTATAAATCAGTCACTTATAATTAAAGTCAAAATTTTTCTAACACAACCTTTCAAGTACTTATAAGCGACTTTGTGGGGAACACTTTGGCGCAACTGTTGCCACTAAATTTGTTTTAGTCTGCATACTAGTTGGAAGAAAATCTTAAAATAAGTGTGAAGAAAAGAAACACTTCGAGCCTGGCATAGAATAACCAATATTTAAGCTAACCTTTTCTTTTAACTGTTGTTAGAAAGTTCTAGTCTGGCTCTAAAAATTT